ACACAGACAAAGCAGGTGCCCAGAGCACACACAGACAAAGCCAGGTGCCCAGAGCACAACAGACAAAGCCAGGTGCCAGAGCACACACAGACAAAGCCAGGTGCCCAGAGCACACACAGACAAAGCCAGGTGCCCAGAGCACACAGACAAAGCAGGTGCCCAGAGCACACACAGACAAAGCAGGTGCCCAGAGCACACACAGACAAAGCCAGGTGCCCAGAGCACACACAGACAAAGCCAGGTGCCCAGAGCACACACAGACAAAGCGAGGTGCCCAGAGCACAACAGACAAAGCCAGGTGCCCAGAGCACACACAGACAAAGCCAGGTGCCCAGAGCACACACAGACAAAGCCAGGTGCCAGAGCACACACAGACAAAGCCAGGTGCCCAGAGCAACACAGACAAAGCCAGGTGCCCAGAGCACACACAGACAAAGCAGTCAGAGCACACACAGACAAAGCCAGGTCCCAGAGCACACACAGACAAAGCCAGGTGCCCAGAGCACACACAGACAAAGCCAGGTGCCCAGAGCACACACAGACAAAGGAAGCGAGTGCCCAGAGCCACCACCAAGACAAAGACAGGTGCCCAGAGCACACACAGACAAAGCCAGGTGCCCCAGAGCACTCACTAGACAAAGCCACCGGTGCCCAGGCAACACCACAGACAACGCGAGGTGCCCAGAACACACACCAGACAAAGGCCGAGGTACCAGAGCACTAACACAGACAACGCACGGTGCCATAGCACACCCAACGGACAACGCCAGATGCTTCCCGAGCACACACAGCACAAAGCCCAGGTACCCAGAGCCACTACACAGACAAAGCCATGTACCCAGAGCACACACAGGACAAAGGCCAGATGCTCAGAGCACACACAGACAAGCCAGGTACCCAGAGCACTACAACAGACAAAGCCAGGTGCCCAGAGCACACTAAGACAAAGGCAGATTGCCAAGACGCACACACAGACCAAAGCGAGGTGACCCAGAGCACACACAGACAAAGCCGAGGTGCCCAGAGCACACGCATAGCAAAGCCACGGTGCCCAGAGCACACACAGACAAAGCGAGGTGCCCAGCGACACACAACAAAGCGAGGTGCCCAGAGCACACACAGACAAAGCCAGGTGCCCAGAGCACACACAGACAAAGCCAGGTGCCCAGAGCACACACAGACAAAGCCAGGTGCCCAGAGCACAAACAGACAAAGCCAGGTGCCCAGAGCACACACAGACAAAGCGAGGTGCCCAGAGCACACACAGACAAAGCCAGGTGACCAGAGCACACACAGACAACGCCTAGTGCCCAGAGCACAAACAGACAAAGCGAGGTGCCCATAGAACACACAGACAAAGCGAGGTGCCCAGAGCACACACAGACAAAGCCAGGTTCCCAGAGCACACACGACAAAGCCAGGTGCCCAGAGCACACACAGCCCAAAGCCAGGTGCCCAGAGCACACACAGACAAAGCGAGGTGCCCAGAGCACACACAGACAACGCCAGGTGCCCAGAGCACACCACAGACAAGCCAGGTGCCAGAGCACACACAGACAAAGCGAGTGCCCAGAGCACATACAGACAAAGCCAGGTGCCCAGAGCACACACAGACAAGCCAGGTGTCAGAGCACACACAGACAAAGCCAGGTGCTCAGAGCACACACAGACAAAGCCAGGTGCCCAGAGCACACACAGACAAAGCCAGGTGCCCAGAGCACACACAGACAAAGCCAGGTGCCCAGAGCACACACAGACAAAGCCAGGTGCCCAGGAGCACACACAGACAAAGCCAGGCGCCCAGAGCAAACACAGACAAAGCCAGGCGCCCAGAGCATACACAGACAAAGCGAGGTGCCCAGAGCACACACAGACAAAGCCAGGTGCCCAGAGCACACACAGACAAAGCCAGGTGCCCAGAGCACACACAGACAAAGCCAGGTGCCCAGAGCACACATAGACAAAGCCAGGTGCCCAGATCACACACAGACAAAGCGAGGTGCCCAGAGCACACACAGACAAAGCCAGGTGACCAGAGCACACACAGACAAAGCCAGGTGCCCAGAGCACACAAAGACAAAGCCAGGTAACCAGAGCACACACAGACAAAGCGAGGTGCCCAAAGAACACACAGACAAAGCCAGGTGACCAGAGCACAGACAGACAAAGCCAGGTGCCCAGAGCACACACACACAAAGCCAGGTGCCCAGAGCTCACACAGACAAAGCGAGGTGCCCAAAGCACACACAGACAACGCCAGGTGCCCAGAGCACACACACAGACAAAGCGAGGTGCCCAGTTCACACACAGACAAAACGAGGTGCCCAGAGCACATACAGACAAAGCGAGGTGCCCAGAGCACACACAGACAATGCGAGGTGTCCAGAGCACACACAGACAACACCAGGTGCTCAGAGCACACACAGACAAAGCCAGGTGCCCAGAGCACACACAGACAAAGCCAGATGCCCAGAGCACACACAGACAAAGCCAGGTGACCAGAGCACAGACAGACAAAGCCAGGTGCCCTGAGCACACACAGACAAAGCCAGGCGCCCAGAGCACACACAGCCAAAGCGAGGTGCCCAGAGCACACACAGACAACACCAGGTGCCCAGAGCACACGCAGACAAAGCGAGGTGCCCAGAGCACAAACAGACAAAGCGAGGTGCCCAGAGCACACACAGACAACGCCAGGTGCTCAGAGCACACACAGACAAAGCCAGGTGCCCAGAGCACACACAGACAAAGCGAGGTGCCCAGAGCACACACAGACAAAGCGAGGTGCCCAGAGCACACACAGACAACGCCATGTGCCCAGAGCACACACAGACAAAGCGAGGTGCCCAGAGCACACACAGACAAAGCCAGGTGCCCAGAGCACACACAGACAAAGCCAGGTGCCCAGAGCACACACAGACAAAGCCAGGTGCCCAGAGCACACACATACAAAGCCAGGTAGTCAGAGCACACACAGACAAAGCCAGGTGCTCAGAGCACACACAGACAAGGCGAAGTGCCCAGAGCACACACAGACAAAGCGAGGTGCCCAGAGCACATACAGACAAATCCAGGTGCTCAGAGCACACACAGACAAAGCCAGGTGCCCAGAGCACACACAGACAAAGCCAGGTGCCCAGAGCACACATAGACAAAGCGAGGTGCCCAGAGCACATACAGACAAATCCAGGTGCCCAGAGCACACACAGACAAAGCCAGGTGCCCAGAGCACACACAGACAAAGCCAGGTGCCCAGAGCACACATAGACAAAGCCAGGTGCCCAGAGCACACACAGACAAAGCGAGGTGCCCAGAGCACACACACAGACAAAGCGAGGTGCCCAGAGCACACACAGACAAAACGAGGTGCCCAGAGCACACACAGACAAAGCGAGGTGCCCAGAGCACACACAGACAATGCGAGGTGTCCAGAGCACACACAGACAACGCCAGGTGCTCAGAGCACACACAGACAAAGCCAGGTGACCAGAGCACAGACAGACAAAGCCAGGTGCCCTGAGCACACACAGACAAAGCCAGGTGCCCAGAGCACACACAAACAAAGCCAGGTGCCGAGAGCACACACAGACAAAGCGAGGTGCCCAGAGCACACACAGACAAAGCCAGGTGACCAGAGCACAGACAGACAAAGCCAGGTGCCCAGAGCACACACACACAAAGCCAGGTGCCCACAGCTCACACAGATGTAGGGCTGTTACAGAGGGGCTGTTTGTGTAGGGCTGTTGCATAGGATCTAACGGATAACAAACACAGTGGGCGGGGACTCCGCCAGTACACGGGGTGGTGCCCGCAACGACGTCCGCACCGGGCGGCGTGAGGGGGGGTTGTGATCCTCTGGGGGAGTATAAAAAGGGATGAGCCAGAGAGCTCGGGGTTCAGTCTTAGAGTAAATAGGGGAAGACGGAAGATCGACCAGATAGGCCCTGGACTCCCCCTGGGACGCCGCCCTTATCAGGGCAGCGCAGGACGGAGCCAGTGGCGTGGTCCCGTGAACCAGAGTTAGTACTCTGGGACTCCGGGTACCGTAGCCCGACTGACCAGTGTCGGGCCAGACAGCCTCCCCTAGCCCGTTAGTGGAGGACTCGGGGTAGGTCAGGGATAGCTAGAGGTGTATCCCCAGTTATACGGGTGAGGGGGCCGATACACCCCTCTAGTGCTGTACGACCATTGTGTAAATAAACACGTGTGCCTTACAACGGTGTCCAAGCGTCTTCAAGGGTACTTCATCTGGTGTCAGAAGAACTACGAACATGGACACGCGCCAATCAGCTCGGGCCAAAGTACAACAAATGGAGGACGCCGCCGAAATTGTCGAGCCCGAGATGGCTCAACAAGACATCGTGCAGCCGGGGCCGGACGCGTTCTTACCGGAGCGTCGGCATGAAGAGGGGCCGCAGACAGACGAGCTGAGGCTGGCTCACGAGAGGCTGGCTGAACTGCTTTACGCCGCTGCCGCCACGCTGGAAAACATCACGCGGCTGGGGGCTGGTGGTCCACCGCGGGGCGAGGGGAGCCGGCGTCCGGAGCGCCTTCCCGCCATTTCCGAAGATTCAAACTTTGAATTTCCCGCCATCGATGCGGCGGCCGCTAGGGGCGTGGCCAGCCTGAACCTCGGGTCCGACATCGGCCGCGCTGGGGCTGCCGCGTCAACGACGGAGGAGGGCGCGTCATCACGGCTGCGACAGGCGATACCATCTGCCGTTCGCGCCGAAACACAGCCGAGTCGGGGAGACAGCAGCCCGCGGGATTCCACGGCAACCGCTGCGCTGCACCAAAGACTGCCTCCGCTTAAAGAATTTGTGGGCGCAGAAGGCGACTGGGGCGGCTTCCAGCGACGCTTCCTCGCCCACCAAGAAATGGCCAAATGGACAGATGCTGAAGCTCTCTGCGCGCTGCCGGCGCTCCTCGACGGCGACGCGCTCGCCGCCCTCACATCGGCGCTGAAGGAGAAGCGCTCTACGCTACCGATGGCGCTGCAGCTGCTGGCCGGGGTCTACGGACCTTCCGCGGAATGCAGGCAGCAGTTCTACGACCGCCAGCGGGGCGCGAAGGAGTCGCCCCTGGCATACAGAACAAGTCTCCTGGCGTTGGCCAAGACAGCCTTCCCTCGCATGGACGAGGACGGGGTCGACGCCATGGTGACTGAAAAAATCCTCCTGCTGGCAGACGACCTGGACATCGCCGTCGTTGCACAGGAGGATACGGAGATGACTTCCCTACAAGCGGCGCGGCTCCTCCACGCCAACCTGCTGTCACAGCGGCGGAAGGCCAGCAGGGCAGCGGCCGGGCGTGCGGTGGCGGCAGCCACCCTCCCGGCGGAGGAGGTTTTCGCCGTCAACCATCGTCGGCAGCAGGGGACGGGAGCACGGTCGGGCCGGGATGGGTCGAGCCGCTTCGACCGTCCGTCATCGCCGCCGGCGCTCCCGCGTTGCTTCAACTGCGGCGTCCGAGGCCATGTCGCCTCGGGGTGCCGCTCTCCCCGACAGCGCGGGACGACGCCTCGCCAGGACGCCGGCCCTCCTCCTCCTCCTCCCAAGCTCCATCAACATGATCCGGCGAGTCGCGGCACCACACATGTTTGGCCTAAACACACACCTGTTGCACACTCTCGCATCGCAACGAATGGGGGGACGACGTTGCATCGCGACGGGTCGGCGCGCACCACTGTGGGGACTCGAATCGAGCCCGGGCAGTGGTCTGCGTTGGCCCATCGCGTTGTGGCCGCATCGTCGGGGTCGTCGGCCGTCGTGGGACACATTGACGGGGTTGAGGTACGCATCCTGGTCGACACGGGGGCATCGGCGACCATTATTTCCGAACTAATTTACAACATTTTACCTGTCCAAAGCCGTCCCTTACTGCCAGTTAACGTCCCATTCTATGCGGCAAACAGGGGCTCCCTTGGCATCATTGGACAAATTCGAGCGCAAATTTGTATCGGGGATATCAAATTATCAGGCCCGATTTTTGTTTCCTCCTCGCTGGCGGTTCCGTGCCTGCTGGGGACAAACTTCTTGGGTAAAATGCCGATTCGTATTTTAATAGACCAGGGATGCATTGAGCTCCCGTCGGGACGGTGCATGGCGTTCCTGCCTTCTCCTACTGTGATTCGGACGGCGTTCGTAACTATACCAGCGTCCGTCGTTGAAACGGTTCGTGTGCCGCCGGGAGCTCAAATGTTAGTGCCTCTAAGACTTCGTCGGCCCTTCGCGGAGGGCATCGGGGCCCAGGGAATCCTGTTAGGACCGTCTAGGGCCGGGGTTAGTGGACCGCATTTGATTCCGGCCCTGACCGTCGTGAGGGGAGATGGGGACCCTTTCATCGCGGTCCTCAATGTGGGATCGCAAACTGTTGTAGTTCCTCAAGGGACGGTGCTTGCGCACGCGACGCCGATGCCCTGCGAGGAACCGGTTGCGAATCATGTCGGCACCGCCGCCCGACTGCACCCACATTCGGACAGCGATGACGGGTGGCTCGACGCGCTTTGTGCGGGATCGACGGACCTGTCAAATTCAGAGCGCCAACAGCTTAGATCGCTACTGCAGGAATTTTCCGACGTTTTTAGTCGGAATAAATACGATTTGGGTTGTACTCATCTGCTGCGTCACCATATTGACACGGGTGACAGCGCGCCAATTCGCCAAAATCCGTTTCGGTTGAGTCCCGCCGAAAAGGACCATGTCAAATTGGCCGTTGATGACATGTTAGCCGCCGACATTATTTCTCCCTCTACCAGCCCTTGGGGAGCGCCGATCGTCCTGGTTAAAAAGCAGGATGGCTCGTTGCGGTTTTGCGTTGATTTTCGGCGCCTAAACAAAATTTCGGTTGCCGACGCATACCCGCTCCCACGGATGGACGAATCGCTGGACGCCTTGGCGGGAGCGCGATTCTTCTCCACGCTGGATTTACTTTCGGGATTCTGGCAGCTTCCTCTGGATGACGAATCGAAACCTAAAACTGCTTTCCGTACACCGCACGGCCTGTTCCAATTCAACCGGTTGCCGATGGGCTTACACTCAGCGCCGGCAACCTTCCAGCGTTTGATGGAATTGGTTTTGGCTGGATTGCAATGGGAGTCGTGTTTGATTTATTTGGATGACGTTATTGTCTTCGCTAAAACTTTTGACGAACATCTCCAGAGGTTGCGGGCGGTTTTCCTAAAGATGCGGGCTGCTAATTTGAAGTTCAAGCCCCAAAAATGTCATTTGTTACGCGATTCCGTGCGTTATTTGGGCCACATCGTAGGGCGCTCGGGTATTGCTACCGATCCCGCCAAAACGCAGTGTGTCAGCTCCTGGCCGACTCCCACCTCGGTGGGAGAGGTCAGGAGTTTCGTCGGCTTCGCGTCGTATTACAGACGGTTCGTCGCCGACTTTGCAACAATTGCCAAACCCCTACACGCCTTAACATCAAAAGGGGTTCGGTTCCACTGGGGTCAGGAGGAGGAGGCTGCTTTTTGCTCCCTTCGGGACGCCCTGGTAAAAGCTCCTCCCTTGATTTACCCCGATTTTTCTAAACCGTTTCTGCTCGACACCGATGCGAGCAACACGGGTATTGGGGGCGTGCTTTCCCAGGTGGTTGACGGCGTCGAACGGGTGGTTGCGTACGGCAGTCGGGTGTTGTCTCAAGCAGAGCAAAGATATTGTGTCACCCGCAGAGAACTGTTGGCAATTGTCTATTTCATCCAACAGTATCGCCCATATCTGTACGGTCGGCGTTTCACCGTCCGCACAGATCATGCGGCACTGCAGTACGCCCTGCGAGTTCAACAGCCATCGGGACAATTGTCCCGATGGTTGGAGATCCTCCAGGATTTTGATTTCGAAACCACCTACCGTAAGGGCGTTCGCCACACCAACGCGGACGCTCTGTCGCGCATGCCAACCACCTCAGAATGTGCATGCCTCCTGGGGTCGGGACGTTGCAAGCCAGCAGGGGACATGTCGGTTCCGGTCCTTGCGGCCGCCGCCGACGGCGGAACAGTTGTTCCAAATTCTATTGAACAACAAGGGAAAGATTCCCTGCTGGGTTTGCACATTCAGGAATGGGGGCGCCTCCAGATGGAGGATACCTCCCTCCTCGCGTTGCGTCGTCGCGCCGGGGAGGCGGGGCGGGGATCGGGTGATGCCGACGCATGGGAAATGCACGCGGGGTTGCTGATGCACTGGGACGGAAAATCCCACCGACACCGGCTGGTGGTCCCTTCTGGCTTACGGGGTAGGGTGGTGTGGGCTGCCCATGAGCGCCTCCTCCACCTGGGTACCCAAAAGACCCTCGCCTTGCTCCAGCGTGATTTCTTTTGGCAAGGCATGACAAGGGATGTCTCAGATCTGGTGGCTTCATGCCCGCGGTGTGCGCAGCGAAAACCACCAGCACGAGAATCAAACCCGCCTTTGCAGTCTATCAGGGTCTCCAGAGTGAACGAACTTGTCGCGCTGGATATTCTGGGCCCATTCCCCGCCACCCCTAGGGGTAATAGATATTTGTTAACCGGGGTCGAGTACTTTACGCGCTGGCCTATGGCCTGGCCCCTGGCCAATCAGTCGGCAGCAGCCATCGTCGACGCCTTTGTCCAAGGTTATGTCATGGACAAAGGTGCCCCGGAGCGGCTGCTGACCGACCAGGGTAGAAATTTTTCCGGAAAACTCCTCCAACAGGTCTGTGAGCTCCTAGGAACAAAAAAGATTCGTACTTCCCCCTATCACCCGCAAACTGACGGGATGGTCGAGCGTCTGCATCGCACCATCTCGTCTATGTTATCACAGCAGGTTTCGGACTCACAGACTGATTGGGACTTGAAAATCCAAGGGGTCTTGGCGGCATACAGATTGGCCCCCCATGCTGCAACGGGATTTTCACCCTTCTTCCTCATGTATGGCCGCGATCCTGACCCACCCGTTCGGGCGCAGCTGCAGATCCCCACGCCGCTGGGTAAAACTAAATTAATTGACCATGTTAAATTCAACCTTGCTAAATTGACTGAGGCACGGGATGCTGCCATGCTAAATTCAGAACAGCGTCAGAAAGCAAATGAGCGCCTCAGACTGGGTCGCGCGCACGTGCTGCAGTGGAAGCCGGGGGACAGGGCATGGCTGCACTGCCCCCAGGTACCACTCGCGACATCCTCTAAACTGGGGTGGCCGTGGAGGGGTCCTGTCGAGGTGGTCGAGGTTCTGCGGCCTCAGTGTGTTCGCATCAAATGGGGGAAGCGCCGGTGGTTTGTGCACCCCTCGAGACTTAAACCATTCGTTGCGGTGCGAGGCCCCACTCCACACACGCGTGGCCAAACATGTGGGGGGTCGGCCGACTCAAAGGGTCCGTCTCTGCTGCCCTCGCCTGACGTGTCGCCGGCTGTCCCGCCCACAGGTGCACCGGGATTGACGGGCTCGCACCCAACCACCGCTACGGGGGATGCCGAGGGTCTCGCGACGTCAAACGCGGACTCAATACGGAATGAACAGCTGCCACCGGGCGGTCCGCCATCCGGGGTTGCCCCGTGTGACGGGCCTGCAGCAAGGACGCGCGCGAAAATGCGCAGACTCTTATGATGCATTAAAAGGAGACTTATTTCTCTTGTGTATGGTTGCGGGGTGCTGCGTCGGTGGGGAGCTCCTGCCACATTGTGTTGTGTTGTGTTGCGTGTGTGCTAGGGGTTCCCTGCTAAAACTGTATATACGTCGCTCTTACGGAATTCGTATTTATTCAGGGGGGGTGCGTCGGATTGTTTCCCTTCGGGGTTTGTTGGGTTTTGTTGTTGTTCCCTTCACGTTATGGTTAAAAACGTTTTTTTTGAGGCACACGCGGAGATCAAGGGGTTAATAAACCTTTATTGAAGTTGTTGCAGCCGGGACGGCTGCGAGCTGTACAGGGGGGGTGATGTAGGGCTGTTACAGAGGGGCTGTTTGTGTAGGGCTGTTGCATAGGATCTAACGGATAACAAACACAGTGGGCGGGGACTCCGCCAGTACACGGGGTGGTGCCCGCAACGACGTCCGCACCGGGCGGCGTGAGGGGGGGTTGTGATCCTCTGGGGGAGTATAAAAAGGGATGAGCCAGAGAGCTCGGGGTTCAGTCTTAGAGTAAATAGGGGAAGACGGAAGATCGACCAGATAGGCCCTGGACTCCCCCTGGGATGCCGCCCTTATCAGGGCAGCGCAGGACGGAGCCAGTGGCGTGGTCCCGTGAACCAGAGTTAGTACTCTGGGACTCCGGGTACCGTAGCCCGACTGACCAGTGTCGGGCCAGACAGCCTCCCCTAGCCCGTTAGTGGAGGACTCGGGGTAGGTCAGGGATAGCTAGAGGTGTATCCCCAGTTATACGGGTGAGGGGGCCGATACACCCCTCTAGTGCTGTACGACCATTGTGTAAATAAACACGTGTGCCTTACAACGGTGTCCAAGCGTCTTCAAGGGTACTTCACAGACAAAGCGAGGTGCCCAGAGCACACACAGACAACGCCAGGTGCCCAGAGCACACACACAGACAAAGCAAGGTGCCCAGTGCACACACAGACAAAACGAGGTGCCCAGAGCACATACAGACAAAGCGAGGTGCCCAGAGCACACACAGACAATGCGAGGTGTCCAGAGCACACACAGACAACGCCAGGTGCTCAGAGCAGACACAGACAAAGCCAGGTGCCCAGAGCTCACACAGACAAAGCGAGGTGCCCAGAGCACACACAGACAATGCGAGGTGCCCAGAGCACACACAGACAAAGCCAGGTGACCAGAGCACACACAGACAACGCCTAGTGCCCAGAGCACAAACAGACAAAGCGAGGTGCCCAGAGCACACACAGACAAAGCCAGGTGCCCAGAGCACACACAGACAAAGCGAGGTGCCCAGAGCACACACAGACAAAGCCAGGTGACCAGAGCACAGACAGACAAAGCCAGGTGCCCAGAGCACACACACACAAAGCCATGTGCCCAGAGCTCACACAGACAAAGCGAGGTGCCCAGAGCACACACAGACAAAGCCAGGTGCCCAGAGCACACAAAGACAAAGCCAGGTGACCAGAGCACACACAGACAAAGCGAGGTGCCCAAAGAACACACAGACAAAGCGAGGTGCCCAGAGCACACACAGACAAAGCCAGGTGCCCAGAGCACACACAGACAAAGCCAGGTGCCCAGAGCACACACAGACAAAGCCAGGTGCCCAGAGCACACACAAACAAAGCCAGGTGCCCAGAGCACACACAGACAAAGCGAGGTGCCCAGAGCACACACAGACAAAGCCAGGTGACCAGAGCACAGACAGACAAAGCCAGGTGCCCAGAGCACACACACACAAAGCCAGGTGCCCAGAGCTCACACAGACAAAGCGAGGTGCCCAGAGCACACACAGACAACGCCAGGTGCCCAGAGCACACACACAGACAAAGCGAGGTGCCCAGAGCACACACAGACAAAACGAGGTGCCCAGAGCACACACAGACAAAGCGAGGTGCCCAGAGCACACACAGACAATGCGAGGTGTCCAGAGCACACACAGACAACGCCAGGTGCTCAGAGCACACACAGACAAAGCCAGGTGCCCAGAGCACACACAGACAAAGCCAGGTGCCCAGAGCACACACAGACAAAGCCAGGTGACCAGAGCACAGACAGACAAAGCCAGGTGCCCTGAGCACACACAGACAAAGCCAGGCGCCCAGAGCACACACAGACAAAGCGAGGTGCCCAGAGCACACACAGACAACACCAGGTGCCCAGAGCACACGCAGACAAAGCGAGGTGCCCAGAGCACACACAGACAAAGCGAGGTGCCCAGAGCACACACAGACAACGCCAGGTGCTCAGAGCACACACAGACAAAGCCAGGTGCCCAGAGCACACACAGACAAAGCGAGGTGCCCAGAGCACACACAGACAAAGCGAGGTGCCCAGAGCACACACAGACAACGCCATGTGCCCAGAGCACACACAGACAAAGCGAGGTGCCCAGAGCACACACAGACAAAGCCAGGTGCCCAGAGCACACACAGACAAAGCCAGGTGCCCAGAGCACACACAGACAAAGCCAGGTGCCCAGAGCACACACAGACAAAGCCAGGTGCTCAGAGCACACACAGACAAAGCCAGGTGCTCAGAGCACACACAGACAAGGCGAAGTGCCCAGAGCACACACAGACAAAGCGAGGTGCCCAGAGCACATACAGACAAATCCAGGTGCTCAGAGCACACACAGACAAAGCCAGGTGCCCAGAGCACACACAGACAAAGCCAGGTGCCCAGAGCACACACAGACAAAGCCAGGTGCCCAGAGCACACATAGACAAAGCCAGGTGCCCAGAGCACACACAGACAAAGCGAGGTGCCCAGAGCACACACACAGACAAAGCGAGGTGCCCAGAGCACACACAGACAAAACGAGGTGCCCAGAGCACACACAGACAAAGCGAGGTGCCCAGAGCACACACAGACAATGCGAGGTGTCCAGAGCACACACAGCCAACGCCAGGTGCTCAGAGCACACACAGACAAAGCCAGGTGACCAGAGCACAGACAGACAAAGCCAGGTGCCCTGAGCACACACAGACAAAGCCAGGTGCCCAGAGCACACACAAACAAAGCCAGGTGCCGAGAGCACACACAGACAAAGCGAGGTGCCCAGAGCACACACAGACAAAGCCAGGTGACCAGAGCACAGACAGACAAAGCCAGGTGCCCAGAGCACACACACACAAAGCCAGGTGCCCACAGCTCACACAGACAAAGCGAGGTGCCCAGAGCACACACAGACAACGCCAGGTGCCCAGAGCACACACACAGACAAAGCGAGGTGCCCAGTGCACACACAGACAAAACGAGGTGCCCAGAGCACATACAGACAAAGCGAGGTGCCCAGAGCACACACAGACAATGCGAGGTGTCCAGAGCACACACAGACAACGCCAGGTGCTCAGAGCAGACACAGACAAAGCCAGGTGCCCAGAGCTCACACAGACAAAGCGAGGTGCCCAGAGCACACACAGACAATGCGAGGTGCCCAGAGCACACACAGACAAAGCCAGGTGACCAGAGCACACACAGACAACGCCTAGTGCCCAGAGCACAAACAGACAAAGCCAGGTGCCCAGAGCACACACAAACAAAGCCAGGTGTCCAGAGCACACACAGACAAAGCGAGGTGCCCAGAGCACACACAGACAAAGCCAGGTGACCAGAGCACAGACAGACAAAGCCAGGTGCCCAGAGCACACACACACAAAGCCAGGTGCCCAGAGCTCACACAGACAAAGCGAGGTGCCCAGAGCACACACAGACAACGCCAGGTGCCCAGAGCACACACACAGACAAAGCGAGGTGCCCAGAGCACACACAGACAAAACGAGGTGCCCAGAGCACACACAGACAAAGCGAGGTGCCCAGAGCACACACAGACAAAGCCAGGTGCCCAGAGCACAAACAGACAAAGCTAGGTGCTCAGATCACACACAGACAAAGCCAGGTGCCCAGAGCACACACAGACAAAGCGAGGTGCCCAGAGCACACACAGACAAAGCGAGGTGCCCAGAGCACACACAGACAAAGCCAGGTGCCCAGATCACACACAGACAAAGCCAGGTGCCCAGAGCACACACAGACAAAGCCAGGTGCCCAAAGCACACACAGACAAAGCGAGGTGCCCAGAGCACACACAGACAAAGCCAGGTGCTCAGAGCACACACAGACAAAGCCAGGTGCCCAGAGCACACACAGACAAAGCCAGGTGCCCAGAGCACACACAGACAAAGCGAGGTGCCCAGAGCACACACAGACAAAGCTAGGTGCTCCGAGCACACACAGACAAAGACAGGTGCCCAGAGTACACACAGACAAAGCCAGGTGCTCAGAGCACACACAGACAAAGCTAGGTGCTCAAAGCACACACAGACAAAGACAGGTGCCCAGAGTACACACAGACAAAGCCAGGTACCCATAGCACACACAGACAAAGCCAGGTGCCCAGAGCACACACAGACAAAGCGAGGTGCCCAGAGCACACACAAACAAAGCCAGGTGCCCAGAGCACACACAGACAAAGCCAGGTGCCCAGAGCACACACAGACTAAGCCAGGTGCCCAGAGCATACACAGACAAAGCCAGGTGCCCAGAGCACACATAGACAAAGCTAGGTGCTCAGATCACACACAGACAAAGCCAGGTGCCCAGAGCACACACAGACAAAGCGAGGTGCCCAGAGCACACACAGACAAAGCGAGGTGCCCAGATCACACACAGACAAAGCCAGGTGCCCAGATCACACACAGACAAAGCCAGGTGCCCAGAGCACACACAGACAAAGCCAGGTGCCCAAAGCACACACAGACAAAGCGAGGTGCCCAGAGCACACACAGACAAAGCCAGGTGCCCAGAGCACACACAGACAAA